GACATGCAGCTCCAGCATTCAGTAAGTATTCTTTTGCACCAACCATTAAACTCAAGTGACAAAACAGTTGTGTGTCCTTGCAATCTAATGTTTAAATCTGATTAAGTTGGAATAAAAAAAAAAAGTCTGAAGGACATTTTCTTTGTCTTGTGCAGATTATGGCAATCACATTCTTGCTGACCTACTGCAACAAAAAACAGGTGAGCTGCAAAGTATCATAAAAAGCAGTTTGTGTGCATTTTTGGTCAAAATTTTATTCAACCAGTTCAGAATTCTTTCACATTCAAATCACAGACATCATTGTATTTTAGGATGATCACATAAAGCAGAAAATGAACATTTTGCACTTTTTCAAAGTAGCTCATCCTCAGTCACCATCAATGCAAATCAAATTTAAGTCTTAATGTAATGTAAGTCAAGGGAACAGTGCTACAAACTGCTCCACCATGCAACCCTGCAGTTTTCCAAAAATAGTTAAACTCTGGTTTCATCTATCATCTAACAAAAGCAAATTTTTTATTCCAATGCTTTGTTCTCATGCCTTGTTACACCTCACATGGCTTTCTTTCAACCATTTTTCTTAGCATGCTTCCACAAATGTCTCACTAATAGTTGCATTGTCAACAGACTCTCCCATTTGATATGTTGATCTCTGCAGCTCCTTTAGAGTTAGTCTCTGAGCTACTGCTCTAATGAATGCTCAGCTTATCCAGTGAGTCAGCGTAGGATGATAACCATGCTTTTTGGAATTAACAGATGTGTTTTACCTGATTTGGACTGCATGATTTAGAAAAACTTACTAATTGCAATATCATGTCTTTTTTCCACATTTTTTTTCAGTCACAAAAAAAAAATGTGGGAGATAGGAGCGATTACAATCCAACCAACAGTCTAAACATGTGAATGTTAGAATAATTATCATTGAAGATGTCTAAGTTTATTACATCTTGGTACCGTCCGCCTGTTACGTGTCAGAACTGATGTTTTATCTAATTAAGAAAGTTCCTCTGTTTGGATATACAGTTATAATCTTCATTCTGTTGGTGGCAAAGATTTGGAAAAGAAATGAGAGCGGTGAACGAAGTGTAATATTTTGATAAGGTAGGAGACATGGATGTCTAATCATCTGCTAACATGTATGATGTAACATCAGATAATGTAGCAGACTGGAAATGTATTAAATGCCTTTTTAAAAGTTAATCGGGGCCAATTCCTTAAAGGTGAGCACGGAGGGGAACAGCTGCTTCTGTAAACTCTAAACAATTTCTCTGATCTGAGTAAGATTACAATTTCTATCATAATCTGTTATCATGTCTCCTGGTTATTTAATACTTGTAAGTTATGAAGTGTTATTTAAAAGAGTTTGTCCCGAGTGATTTTTTTTTTTTTTTTTTTAGGGAAAAGAACCAGAGAGATAGAGCATCAAGGTGCATACACAGAGCCTATCTTTAACAATGGGTTGCAGAGTGATAGGCTACATATTTAATGCAAAGATCTTAACCATACTTTAAACTGACATGCAAAAAGTATCCATTGCCTTGATTGTTTAAAAAAAATTTTCCACAATGAAACCGCAAACATCAACAGATTTTATGGAATCCTATCGAAAGACTAACACAAGGTAGTATACCATTCTGAATTAAGAGGGAAAATTATACGTGGTTTTAAACAAAGGTATTTGTAAGTATGTAAAAGGATTTAGCCCCTTTTCTCTAAGTGCAACCAATTACTTTCAGAAGTTGCTTGACGCTTGTTAATAACTAAAGTCTATCTGTGGGTAATGAAATCCCCAAACAAACACAGGCTAAGAAAATATTGGTGAGCAAACAGCATTATGAAGTCCAAGCAACACACAAGACTGAACTTTAAAACAGGTTTAGCAGGAAAAAATGTCAAGCTTTGAACATCTCACCGAGGTACAGTATGTTCAATCCATCATCTGGAAATGAAATGCGGATGGCACAGCTGTACCCCTGCCAAGACAGGGCCTTACGTACAGACATAACAAGAAGAGAAGTGATCAGAGATGCAGCCAAGATGCCCATGGTGACTCTGGATGAACTGTAGAGATCTACAGCTCAGGTGGAGGAATCTATCCACTGAACAACTGTTAGTCATGCCCTGTACAAGGTGATCTTTATGTAAGAGTCAAGAAGAAAGCTATTGCAAAAAGAGCATAAGAGATGGCAAATTTCCAGAAGCCATGTTGGGCAAACATCAAAAGTGGAAAAAAGTGCTTTAATCAGTCAAGACAAAAACTGAACTTTTATCCAAAACAATGTAAAGTGGAGATCTTCCTCTTTGAACACACCATCCCCACTGTCCAGAATGGTGATAGCAGCAATGGGGATGCTTCTCTGCAGGGATGATGGATGGACACAAAAACATGGTGATCTTTAAAGACTAAGGCAGAGGTTTACGTTCCAGGACCACGACACTAGACATAAAGCCAAGGTCCTGTACAATGAAGCGAGCTGAACCTAGCAGGTTTACTCCCTGCAAATCCAGTTAATCCAATTCAAAAGAATAGTAATCAGGATTAGAGGCACCACAAAGCTGGTTATTAACTCGCTAATTCTTGCCAGCCTGAGCTGATCATTAATCTGTGAATGCACACGTGTAAAGGGGCAGGTTCAAGGTAACAGACCAATCACAATCATGAGTGCCGGATTTCCCCTGTGGGGAACAAAAATGTATCCAACAGAAATAAAAAGGGGAGAAAAAAAAAACAGTCTCAAAGAAAAGTCAAACAAGCTGGAGGCATGCTCATGTGTAAATGTGCATTTAAAACAGTCTTCATCCCTATCTCTGTACTGCACTTTAATCACATTCCCCTCTGAAGTGAAGAGAACTTATGAGCAAATAAAAATAAAAGAGAAAAACATAAATTCTTCTATTTAGCTTGACTTTTTAGTTCAATAATGTTTGGGCTATCATAAAGCTGGAAGATTATGCCATGATTACATTATATTAATGGTTCATCTAAGTGAAATATCCCGATTTCTGAGTTGTGTCAGAAAATTGCTATATATGATATGTGAGCTCTTCTATTATGATGTGTTTAGTTCTTTTCAATCTGAATCACAATGGGTCTTCAGTGAAAGGACATGTCATTGTTCCGCAAACTGATTAGCTGCTGAGTGGAGCGTTTTCTAGGATTCAGATCAATCGTGAAAGCTAACCTGCCTTGGAGCAGATATGTCGTTCAGCGTTTGTTACGATGGTGAGTAGCCTTGCTAAGAATGAATCCAGCTTTGTGGTAGCAGAAAATCGGGGTTAAAACTGAAGTTGTCTCGCTAACCCAAGTAATCCTGATTTGGGATTCAGGCCTCAGGACTAAAATGAAGCAGTTTAAAACAAAACATAGTTGGAGGTTAGAATGGAGCAGTCAAAGTCCACCATTCAAGTCAAAGTTGACTTTCACCAAATTTGAGAATCTGTGGCAAGATCGGAAAAGCACTGATCACAAACACTCTTCATATAATCTGGCTGAGATTAAGTTGTTTTGCGCAGAAGAATGGGCAGAAATTTCAATCTCTAGATGTACAAAGCTGGTAGCGACATAACCCTAAAAACTTGCAGCTTTCATTTCAGCAAAAGGAGGTTCTACAAAACATTGGTTCATGGGGCTAAATACTTTCACCCATCCTTTCCAGGTTTATATTTGCAGAAATAAAATATACAATTCATGCATAAACCCGTTTCCATTTCTCAATTTTGTACGACTTTTTTTTCTTTCGGTTGTAATGATACAAAAATTGGAAAAGCTAAAGTAAAATAAACACCTTTGCAAGCCATCGTATCTCTCTGACCAGTTTCTCTGTATATTGGTTTTCATAGCAACATTTGTTTAGTAATGATCTCTAAAAAAAATCTGGATCCATAAAAACGGATCGATTTAGTTGACTTTCCCGGGGTGAAGCTGTCAGAATTAATTGAAAAGCTGTTTTTCCTCTTTTACCTTCAAAAAGGGAAAACCTGTTTTTCCCCTTTTCTTTACCTTCAAAAACCAAAAATTGACTAATTTTGAAAACTTTCAATGTTTTAGTTACACATTTATAAGAGACTCCACATGTTGTGATACTGAATAATTAATGCTTATTTTCTAATTAATTGCTGACTTCATTTGTTGTTGTGTGCGACAGGAGTGGGCTGTCCATCCACACAGGCATTGAAGAATTGGATTAAATTCAGACTGCGGAAAGCGGAGGTAAGGAAAAAAAAAAAAGTCTTAAATCTTCCCTGAAAATAAACAGATTTGATCTCCTGCTTCTTGGGCTTTAAACCATATTTGCCTTTCCATAGGAGCCAACCTTCTCTGATAAGACCGTCAAACATCCGTGTTTAACCCAGCTCTATTTGATGAAGAATCCCAGTGTTCGCAACCAAAGAGGGAGGAAGACCCTGTTTAACTTCTTGTATTGAACAACATTGGAAAACATGCCTAAACGACATCTGTAATGTCTTATGGAAAATAAATGTATAAAATCAACAGTACAGTAAAATATGAATTTATTCATAGTGATTAAAGTACCTTTTCACAACCAAATCACGCGTATTCTGTGCTCACACTGCCAAAGAAAAGTTGCACATTTAAATGGCATTACTAACAAAAACACATTTTAAACATCAATCAACACAGCAATGTACATTTTCACTTTGAGAAAAACCTTAATGTTGACCAGATTGTCTAAGAACAGAAGAGTCCCACTCCTCCGATAACAAAACAATTAACAAACAAGAGCCGATATATAACTCAATTTTTTTTAAAGAAACTGTTACAATACTATAAAATTATAAACTTCTCCAATTAAAAACAGAAACAGCGGATCGAATCTGGTTTTGCGCACCAATAAACAGTTGTAACACCTAGTTTACAAGGTTTCCATTCAATACATTTTAAAAGTGGCTTAAATAAAAAAAAAAAAAAAAATTCAAACATTGCTGTTTTTTTTGTTTGTTTTTTTCCCGCTTGGTCTTTAACACTGTCATTTATTTCAAATGATTAGTTATCAAGAAACTGCTAAAAACAGCTTGCAAGCCCCTTAAAACGTAAGGATAAAGAAGAAAAAATAAAACCCATTGCAAGGATGAATTAAAAAAAAAAAAACATCTCCACCCTCTTTATCCCATTGTAACATCACAGTGCAAATTTAGGTGTGTAGCTCATGGCTCATACATTCTCGGTTTGCAAGGCACATTCTTTATGCGTCAGTTCGGGGAGAAGGATGTGGGAAACTTGATATGTAAACACGTGTTTACAAATGCATGTTTGCGTCTAGTGGCAGTTTCAAGACTAATGCTTTAGTGGGTGTAGACTGTTCTTTCTTTGTTACAGATGATAAATTGATACACCACTTCCTTGTCAATCTAGTTTCTCTGCTTTGATAAAAACCTGATGGAAATTTTTTTGATTAAACCTGTTCAACAGGTCAATTAAACTAACAAAAAGGCTTACTTCTATAAATAGAGAGAATAGTCAACCTTCAGCTGTAGGAATCTTTGGTTGGATTAAATTTACATTAATAGTCATTACGCCCCATATTAACTGGCCTGTGGAAAAGTGTGGGAATAGTGTACTACAGAAATATGCTCTGGAACAGAACCTTTTGACAAAAAATAACAGTAAATTCTGCTTTTGTTGCGTGTAATAAAAGGCCATTTTGTAGATTATAATTTCAGCCTTTTATGGTCTTCTTCCAATAGCTGGAATATTGAAGCTAGTGGTTTGGAAATCTTTTTTTTTTTACTTTACACAAACACAACAGATCATCAAACTAATTTTACTACCAGATTGGGCTTAGAAAAAGGACGGCATCATAACTTAACTGCAGTTTAACACATTTTGCTTTGCCAAGTGCAAAGTCATCACTGGCATAAGTTTTAAAAACCCTGTTTGTCAAAACAAAGATTTTGAACATCACAGCCCAAAAAACAAAGTACCAGATATCAATTAATGTGGACAGAAACAAATGAAAACGTCCTGATAAATTCCGAAGACCAGCTGAAGAAAAAATACTGGAGGCTGGCATAAAGTAAAGTCATTTCAGAGAGGCATCTCCTCAAAAGGACTTAAAATGGTGAGAACAGAACAATGGGTGGGATTTAGCAGCTTTGAAAAAAAAAAAATTTCAGTAAAACCACCACTGCTTTTTCTAGGCAAACAAGATTTCTTTCATCAAAATTGAGTCCCACTCAGGAGAAAGGTTTACTCTTTGCATTCAGTGGAAAAAGGCCTTGAAACACAGCCAGCATCCAGTTGAGAGGTAGCTCATGTGAAAAACTAACAAGCCAAATGCAAACATGACTTCAGTTACTTTGAATTTACAAAGAAGTCATCCAACCTAGATTACAAGACCAGGCCTTTCTGAGCAGGTGTTAAACCACCACAAGGAATGAGGTCAGACATGAAGGACAGACACATTTCAAAAAACACAATTTTAAAACCACTTAAAAAATAAAATGATTAAATTAATAAAAGAATATCTCTGCCCGAAAAACAGTCTTGAAGTCGCAGCTGACTTAAAGTCAGTCCTAAAGCTCCACAGTCCTCAGGGAATGCACTTGTTAGTGGAAGAAACCAAAGATCAAGGTGGATCAAATTACTTCTACTAGCCCAGATTATCACAATGAATGGGTGAACACCCAAAAAAACCAACACATTTTCTCTCAACCTGTAAGTCTGTGTGATTATCAAACTACAGCGGCAGCAGGGTCTTTACCATCCACATCCTGCCGTTGATGAACTCTAGATCCATCCTCTGTGTTCCCTGGCTCCTTCCCCCCAGAAGCCTTCTCTTTTAGTCTCTCGGCAGAATCCTCTGAATTTGAAAGGTCAATTCTGTAAGTCTTTGGGGTGGGTGGCTGATAACGGTATCTGTATCCAAAGGCACGCATGTGGTAGGCGTAGTACTCCAACAAATACATGCCGGCAGCGTCTACATAATGGAAAGAAACAGACACATCGGAGCAGCAGTTTGGACCCTGAAAAACAAAAAAAAATTGAAATGAAAAGAATTTGGCTATATGTCATCATCAAAAAAGAAGGTATAATACATGCATCTACATAGGAAGTCACAAATTATATTCATGAACTAAAGTAGAGGGAAAATAATCTAAGGCTTTCAAAGGTAGTCCCAAATAAAGAAAAAAAAAGTTTCTTCAAGACAGGAGTGTAACAACCACTATCAAATGTAAATACTGCACCATCTAAGTACCTCAGTCAACATAACCTTATCCTTTTAGCTCTTAACTATGCTTCATAACACCTCAACAACTCTGGAATTAAGAGATTTTGCACTTAAGCAGCTGAACTTGCCTCTGAGATGGGGTAGTAGCAGTAGCTCCAGTACCAGAAGCTTTTGGGGAATTTGGCAGTGAGGTGTTGTTCAGGGACGAAGGGGTGAAACGTCTCCCTCTGTGAAGTGTCTCTGGAGTCTCCTGCCAGAACCCCAACCTTCTCCATACACTGTCCCATCGCCAGGTCCTCAACAGAAGAAGTGTGAGTACACACTTTGTTTTTAAAACCTTCCACAAATCTCCGCAGGGCTTCTCTGCTCAGTACGTATCCAGCACCGCCACTCATGTACCCCTGCTTGGTGTAAGGTTTAAATCTTCGCCCGAAGTAAATTGGCTCATCTGGTGTGTGGTTCGCAAGGACCCATCGCAGATTATCTACTATCACATAGGTATCATCATCCGCCTTTAGGAACCAGTCTGCCTCATTGGCGTGACGCTCGTAGGCGTAATGGAAGGCTCTGATCGTTTTCCAGTACAGCTGATCGCGGCCTTCTTTTGTGCCAAGTCCCACTGTGGGGAAGTCTGGGTCATCTACGGAACTCATGAAAACAACTATATTGCAATGGCGACTCCATGTGTACTTGACATGGCGAGCCTTCTTCTCCAGGTTGTTGGGGCCGGTCATCACCCAGCAAAGGATACGCACCTTTTTGTAGAGCTCATCAGCCATACGGCTGTCCTCACCTTTGAAGGAGACAGAAAGCATTTACATTTTGTACATATTTTAGAAAAGTAAAAACAAAAAAGACAAAAAAAACAACAAAAAAACATACACATTACGCTCATATATATTTTGCCACTGTAGAACCTCAAACTCAAATGCTTTTTATAGAATTTTCATTCAAACCATCCAGGTTTTTATAAACCAAAATCTGAAAAATGTGGTTTGCATTTGTATTCTTCATCTTTCGCCAACAACTGACAAAACATCTGTAAAAATCCATTTCATTTTCCTGCATAAATAGACAATCATGCTCAGTCACCTGTCAAACCAGTAGGGGTGTGGGGAAAAAAATTGATTTGGCGATATATAGGGATTTGTGGCTGCCTGATATAAAATGGATCTTTCAGTTACAGTATCGATTTTTTTTAAAACTACACATTTTACCTCAAAAAATGTAGGGACAAAACGACAAAAACAACAACAACAAACCTTTATACAGTACCTTTATTTGTTAAACAAATGCTTGGGCCTGTAAGAAGTTTTTGGTCCTTGATTTCAATGTTTTATGGAGTATTTCATTGTATAATAACTGTAAAATAATAAAGGTTTCTACTTCATGGATTTCGCCTATTGCAGGTTCTTTTTGGAACGTAACCCCTGCGTTAAACGAGGGTTCACTGTACTGACTCTGACCCTAAACAATATAGATACCAAAATAACTAAGTGATCAATATAGTCTGATGAACATATTCAGCCATTGCTTTATAATCTATACATTCAATTTGAGATATCGCAATATATAGTGATATTGCAATTTGTGATAATATTCAATTCAATTCAGTTTATTTATATAGCGCCAAATTCACAACACATGTCATCTCAAGGCACTTTACAGTTCAACCAGATCATACAGTCAAATTGATACAAAGTTTTCTATCTAAGGAAAACCAGTTGATTGCATTGACTCATTGACTCAAATACAATCCCCCACACTAAGCATGCTTGTAGCGACAGTGGAGAGGAAAAACTCCCTTTTAACAGGAAGAAACCTCCAGCAGAACCAGGCTCAGTGTGAGCGGCCATCTGCCGAGGCCGACTGGGGTTCAAGGAGACAGAAGCAGAGATACAAAAAGCAGCTGTAAAAGGCGGCCCCGTCCAGGAAACACGCAGCCAGGCAGACGAGCTCCAAGGCAGCTCCCATGCCAGAGGACGAAGAGAGCACATCCACTCAGTCACGGTCAGAGAAACAGGACCACACTGGAAAACAGGCCGATCTCCAACATCTATAAACAAGGGTGTTGATAGAAGCAGCACAGCTGATGTTTCTTTCCAGGATGACGTCACAGCCAAACAGGAACAGACGAGGCAAAGCTACTCTGAGGAAAAGCAGAGAGAGCAGAAGGTTAGAGATTGAACTAACAGATTCTGCAGAATAGGAGAACAGAGAGAGAATGAAGCAGAATGATGAAATGGGGGTCCCTATGTCCTCCAAAAGTCTAAGCCTATAGCAGCATAACTATAGAGATAGCTCAGGATAACCTGAGCCACCCTAACTATAAGCTTTATCAAAAAGGAAAGTTTTAAGCCTAGCCTTAAAAGTAGACAGGGTGTCTGCCTCACGGACTAAAACTGGTAGTTGGTTCCACAGCAGAGGAGCCTGATAACTAAAAGATCTGCCTCCCATTCTACTTTTAGAAATTCTAGGAACCACTAGTAAACCTGCAGATTGAGAGCGAAGTGCTCTGTTAGGAACATAAGGAACAATCAGATCTCTGATATAAGATGGAGCTTGGCCATTTAAGGCTTTATATGTGAGAAGGAGGATTTTAAATTCTATTCTTGATTTAACAGGAAGCCAATGAAGAGAAGCCAGGATAGGAGAGATATGATCTCTCTTTTTTATTTTCATTAGAACTCTGGCTGCAGCATTTTGGATCAGCTGAAGGCTTTTAACTACAGTTTGTGGACTTCCTGATAGTAAAGAATTACAATAGTCCAGCCTTGAAGTAACAAATGCATGGACTAGTTTCTCAGCATCACCCCTGGACAGGATATTTCTAATTTTTGTAATGTTCCTCAGATGAAAGAAGGAAATTCTAGAAACCTCTTTGATATGGGATTTAAATGACAGGTCCTGATCAAAAATAACACCAAGATTTTTTACTTTATTATCTGAAATCAGTTTAATCCCATCCAAATGAAGTGACTGGCAAATCAGTTTCTTTTTCAGAGACTCTGGTCCAAAGACTATAACTTCTGTTTTGTCTGCATTCAGGAGCAGAAAGTTAAGAGTCATCCAGGTTTTTATGTCTTCAAGACATGCCTGTAATCTATGTAATGGGTTAGCTTCATCTGGATTTATAGACAGATATAGCTGGGTATCATCAGCGTAACAGTGGAAATTAATCCCATGCTGTCTAATAATTCTACCAATTGGGAGCATGTATAAAGTAAAGAGAATTGGTCCTAGCACTGATCCCTGTGGTACTCCACAGGTAACCTTTGAGCGTGTTGAAGATCTATCATTAACATGAACAAACTGAATTCGATCAAATAGATAAGATTTAAACCAGTCTAGTGCTGTTCCTTTAATTCCAACAAAATATTCAAGTCTTTCTAAAAGAATATTATGGTCAACTGTATCAAATGCAGCACTAAGATCCAACAGGACGAGCACAGATACAAGTCCATTATCTGAGGCCATGAGAATATCATTAGTGACTTTCACCAGAGCTGTTTCAGTGCTATGATGAGCTCTAAAGCCAGACTGAAACTCTTCAAAAAGTTCATTATGGTGGAAGTGATCGCAAACTTGTTTGGCAACTACTTTCTCAAGAATTTTGGATAAGAAAGGAAGATTGGATATAGGTCTATAATTGACCAAGTCATCTGGGTCAAGAGACGGTTTCTTAAGCAGAGGTTTAATTACAGCAACCTTAAAAGCTTTAGGTACATATCCCTGTAACAGAGATAGATTAATCACATCTAAAATGGAGGAGGAGATCAAAGGGAATACCTCCTTAAATAACCTGGTTGGAACTGGATCTAACATACAAGTTGAAGGCTTAGATGAAGACAATAATTTTGCTAATTCAGAGAGTTCAACTGGATCAAAGTAGTCTAAACCCGGTTCAGATTCCATGACTACCTCAGGTACAAATCGCGGATAGAGGAGTGCTTATGATCTTATTTTTAATAAGATCAATCTTATTTATAAAGAATCCCATAAAATCATTGCTGCTAAGAGCAGGTGGAATGGACGGTTCAACAGAGCTATGGCTCTGGGTGAGTTTGGCAACTGTATTAAAAAGAAATCTAGGATTATTCTTATTCTCCTCTATTAATGAGGAGAAGTATGCTGCTCTTGCTTTACAAAGAGTCCTCTTATACAGCAGTAAACCATTTTTCCAGACTAGGAAGGACTCTCGCAGGCCTGTGGAGCGATATTTTCTCTCCAGTTTCCTAGCATTTTGCTTCAAAGTACGCAGCTCTGCATTAAACCAAGGAGCAAGCTTTCTATTTTTAACGGTTTTCATTTTCAAAGGAGCTGCGTTGTCTAAGGCAATACGCAGAGAACTAGCAACCCCATCAACAAAATCATCAACCTGTGAAGGGGAATAAGCTAAGCTTTTGCACTCTGCAGCACTGCTCAGTGACACAGAGGAGAGAGAAAGTGAAGCAGATTCTTTAAAATTTATAACTGCACTATCTGATAAAGATCTACTAAAATTGAACCTTCTTTTGGGGGAGGAGAACTCTGTTAAAGTAATCCTGAAGGTTATTGGAAAGTGGTCAGAGAGGACAGGGTTGTGAGGAAATACTGTTATTTCTTCACATTCTATGCCGTATGTCAGCACAAGATCCAAAGTATGAAGATGAGAATGCGTGGGACTATTCACATTTTGAACAAAGCCAATAGTGTCTAAGATAGCATTAAAGGCTGCTCTTAAGCTATCGCCTTCAATGTCAGCATGGATGTTAAAATCTCCCACTATGATGACCCTGTCAGTATTTAATACCAAATCAGAAAGGAACTCTGAAAACTCATCTAAAAATTCAGAGTAAGGACCTGGTGGACGATACAAAGTTACAAAAAGAAGAGGTTTTCTTGCCTTGAAATTTGGATCAGGGAAATTAAGGGTTAAATGTTCAAAAGAGTTGTAGGTATTAATTGTTTTGGGAGTAATCCGTAAGTCAGACTGGAAGATTGTTGCTACTCCTCCTCCTCGCCCAGAACTTCTGGGGATGTGAAAATTTAAATAGCTTGAAGGAGTTGCCTCATTTATGCTCACATAATCCTCTTGCTGCAGCCAGGTTTCTGTAAGGCAAAACAAGTCAATGTGATTATCACAAATCAAGTCATTAACTAGTAGACTTTTAGAGGAAAGCGATCTTATGTTAAACAGACCGCATTTAATTGTTTTAACTTTTTCCCCAATTGGAGTTATTTTGATTTTAATTGGATTATCATGATTTACTCCTTTGGGAATCTTTGCTAATTTATTAGATTTTGGTCGTGGGCAAGACACTGTCTGGATGGAGTAAAGAGTGGGTAACAGTAGAGAAGCTGCAGAGATGTGTGTTAAACTACAACTCAAAATACACAAAATATTGTATTTTGACCAGAGTCAAATCTACTCATGGGTCAATCTACTTTGACCCCTGAGCAGTGGTAACAAAGGGGCAAATTGTAGTTGTATCTAGGCTAGAGCTGTCAGTCTGGTAAGGAATCTGGTTGTTATTAGAACTTGTAAAGGTTTACCGTACCTTTATTTGCAACATAAAACTGACTAAAATTAGAATAAAACCTTTTCAAGCTTTAGTCAACTTAAACTATCACATATAGTATAGCTAAAATGCAAATGGCTGTCATAAACAACACTGTTAGGAAAGATCTCTGCTCAGGGCGGTGGCTCAGATCAAAACCAACTTCTACAAATAGTGATAACAAAGGTTACAAATGACTAGTATAGCAAAGCCACAGAACAGAAACAAAAAGTATAAAAGTCAGCAAATGAAT